TCATAAGAAGATTGTAACCTGTTGGTTGAATGTATTCAAAAGAGGTATTATGAACATTATTATATTTTAATAAAATAGCTACACGAATAGCCTGATTGTTCCAAAACAGAGATGGATGGGTATCATGTAAGTCAATAGCAATCTAAATGCAATTGACAGTATAGTGACAGCGTAGGACGCGAAACCCAAATTCACGTTCCCACGACAGTCCCCAGTCGACCCAAATATATATCTGGCCAAGGACTGTCACTCCAGCAACACTCCGNTCCTAAGTTGACATGGAACTACTCGACAAGTTCTATTTTTATTATGCATTCATGAATTCTATTATTACAATCCTAAAATACGTATTTATATCTTTTATGAATAAAGTACGCGTGGAACACAGACTAACTCTATTCTATTTGGCAAACGATGTCATACAAAATAGCAAAAGGAAACGCTATGAATTTGTGGAAAGTTGGGCCACAGCGCTACAACGAGCGACAACTATGGTGAGGTAAGTATATGCACGCACATTTCTACCTTAATGAATTTTAAACTTAATTCATCACTTTCATTCCAGAGATGAAAAGGTAAAAGGCAAGATTTTGCGTATTTTCGGCATTTGGGAACAGCGCGACATTTACAGTGAGGAATATATAAGCGATTTATCTGGCTTGCTCAATATAAATCCACCAAAGAAATCACAAGCAGTTGTATCTGATTCAGCAGATGACTATACGGTTCGTGTTGCAGTAGCAAAAAAAAAAAAATTTACCATATCTGCATCAAATTTCTATATCTTGCTCAATTTTACTTACTAGAATGGTCCATTCATTGCTAACATACGTGAATGTGTCGAGCTGTCTTTGGCGACTGATAACAGTTTTAAAAAACTGCCTAAGGCGCCTAATTGTGATATCGAGGTCATAAAGCAACAAATAAAGGATAAAAGCCATTCAGATGACATTGAAAAGGAAATCGAACGTTATACCACATACGCTGAGGCATATAGTAAGCATTTGCAAGCAGAAATTCGTACACGCAAAGCTGTCTTAAGTAACATTGACACAGCCATTAAATTCTATGCAAATCAACGAGGCGAAGTAAAGGTGGTAGTTAGTGTAAGTGGATATATTTTTTTAAATGCATCTTAGTCTGAGGACGACAAATATCGAAAATAGCCAATACTGAACTGAGCGCAAAATATTTATCAATCTCTCTCCCTCTGTTGGCCAGGCTTGTCATATTCTGCTTTCATTGATATCATTTTAGGCCTACAAAAATTTCGGCAGTCGCATAAAGCTTGTCAAGAAGAAATTGGATGAAATCACACCAAACTTGCCTAGTCCCATACCATCGCCCGACATAAATGCACCGTCTCCGGAACCAGATGCAGATCTGCCTCTGCCTGATGACCAATCACCGATCTCAATGGTAAGTTAATCGTTCTGGTATCACTATTTGTATATTAATTTTTTAAACATATCCTTACAGAATCTATTTAAAAATTCAATAAATGGGTACTCAAGTTATTTGGATGGTAAATTACCATTTGACATAAATGATTTTAAGCGTGATGATAACACTTCCAATAAATCAAGTAAGTGAAAACGTAAACTTACAAAGTTATTTCATATAAAAGTTGCTTTAAATCCACACAGGTCAGCCGATTGAAGTAATAGGTTCACGTTCGGACGATGAAAGCTAC